GTCAAAGCAGTTTGGAGAGAAAAACAAAGTAAAGAACAAAAAAAGAAAGAAAACGATTAAAAAACGATTAAAGAAAAAAAGAAAAGTAGTCCAGGCACTCCGCCCAGCGGAGTGCCTGGACTACTTTTCTTTTTTTCTTTATTTTTGTTGTTGCTACACTCCGCCCACCAGAGTGTAGCAACAACAAAAATCTCTGAAAACATTGGAGTGAAATTGCAATGAAACAAAATATTGATAAAGTGAATAGACATTTGAGTTGTACAGTGCTATAGGTAGTAAARTGTATTTTCTGTGCCATGCACCACAGCAGGTGCCCACATGGGCTTACAAGCAGTGGCGCTGAGTGGTKTCAGTCYAACATGACTTCGGTGGGTTTCAGCTACTCACAAACGTCACTCTTACAAACTCCAGCTGCTGCAGCGTCTCAGTGAGGATGACCCAGATCAGCACAGTGAATTTACAGAATGGGTAAAACAAAAAGTGGAACAGGACCTGAGTTTACACAGGACATTTTGTTCAGTGATGAGGCAAACTTTTATGTGAATGAAGTTAAAGAAAACCAGTGCTACTGGTCTGACACTAAAGCTGGAAACATACTRCCTCTGAACTGCTGACGTCAGCACGGCTTGTTGCAGTTTCATGGAGAAAATTACATCACCGGGCTCCGCAGCGTCAGCTCGACCACTCGTTTTGGCACAGCCCGCCGGCAGATCTTTGTACCCGCCTCCTGCAGTGATGGCACTGTGTGATTGGTCTGAAGTTAGAAAGGGCTCGGACTCTCAAAAGAAAAAAAAACTTGCTTCTAGAGCCGACTGTTACCATGAAGTAAAGTTTTATAAAGATAGTCAAACCGTGAAAAACTCATTAAACAGAAGTTGTGTATGGAGGAATCTGACTGATAAAACCTGTGGAGCTTTAACCAGGACACATGTGGATAAATACATCAGGTGAGTGACCAGTCTGTTGCATGAAGAAACTCCATGCAGGGACGTCTGCTGCAGCGGGGAGGGGGGTTTCCAGCAGCTCAGCGCGGGGTGTCTCTGGAGCTATGGAAGGTCTGTGAGAAAATGACTGCCGAACGACAGCGTGACCGCACGTCAGCGTCTGAGGGAGTGTGTTTCCAGTTTAACCCACGTTAGATAGATCCCTCCAACAGTGGCGCCTGCAGAAAAGTTTTTCAGGGGGGCCATGGTGGGGCCACTGAAAAACCAGGGGTGGCGCACCATAACTAATATCTATAACAGACAATTTATAATGTGGTTGTAAAAATGACAATTTGAAAACTATGGCAAAATAAAAACTATGGATTTGCCAACAGAAGTTCAATTATAATATTACTGATTTTGTGATGTTCAGTGACAATAAACAAACAAACAAACAACTAAATAAATAAATAAATAAACAAGGCTCTGAACTATCTGCACTTCCACAACAGTCCATTTCTAACTTGTCCTGTATCTTTACACACAGAGAACTGTAAGTTATCCTTACATTATTACATATTTCAGTGGCATCAGAAGTATTTGTAATGTTGGGGGACCCACTGGTGGGGGGTCTGGGGGTCCTACCCCAGAAATTTTTTTTGAAATAAATACCCAGTAAATGCCATTTCCTGCATTCTGGTGTATTTTAACAGGTTGTTAAACAGATTTTTACCTACACAGGAAAACACTTAATG